ATGCTTCCAGTTTGCCTTGACCAGAAACCTTTAAACCATCCTTAACTCCTTTCTCATACTTCACACTCAATGCATCAGGAAAACCTGTTGGACCTAACATCAAAATATTTCCAGAATTTGACCACTTTTTACCACTTACCCCAGTATCACCTTAGTCTAAGCCACCATCATGTCTCACTTGGGTTTTCCAGTAGCCTCCTTAAATAGTCTCTCTAAAATTATCTCTATATTATTATCCTGGTATATTATCCTATTATTATCCTATCCAGTTAGCCCTCTAGGACTATTCATAGAGCAGTCAGAGTGAAGTTTTAAAAATATAAGTCAGATAATGTTCCTTTGCTGCCCAAAATCTCCCCATGCTTTTCCAACTCTCAGGGTAAAAAGCAAAATCCTATCAGGCCTACACAAGGCCTGATGTGATTTGGCTGCCTTCTCTTTCTTTCTTCTTCCATGTACCAACAGTACTTCTCATCCACTTGTTTGACTTCCTTTTGCAGGACATGCATCACCATCTAAGATACCATATAATTTACCTTTTTATTTTTTATTTACATTTTTATAATTTACATTTTTACATTTTGTCTGTTTCCACTGGAATGTATGGTTCACAGGGACAGGGATTTCTGTCTTTTCTTTTTTTACTGATATATTCTCCGCTGCCAAGCACACAGTAAGCATACAATGAACACTGGTTATATGAATGAATGATTATATTCATTATATATGAATTATATGAATATGGTTATATGAAGGAATGACTGAAGGGATTGGGGAGGAAGATCTTCTAAGAAGACATAATTCCAGAAAATGAGAGCAAAAACAGACAATACAAGTAAAAAGTTCTGTGAGTGCAGAATCTTTTAGAAAAATAAGATTATTTCTGAGATTACAGCTTCTTAAGTAGTCATTGCTTTTTGTACACTTACTATGAATGAAAAGGAGGGAGTACTCCCACTTTTAGAAAACACCCATCTTGCTAGGTTAAGGCAGTGATTGTAATTAGCTTAAGCAGGTTAACATAGTTACTCAGCTTCATGACGTTCAGTGGTTTCCTGAGTGCTAAGGGAAGGAGACCAGGGAGTATGTAGCTGTACTTACAAGATTTCGGTTGTCACTAAGATTATATATTTTAAGAAAAAGCTTGTATTAATTTTTGATTATGCAAGTAAATTAGAATATACACAAATATAAACAGGAAATGATCACTTAGAATGTTTCCAAACAGATGTCCTCTGTTAAGAGTTTGGTGTATGATCCAGATTTTCTTCTGAGCATATATCTGCCTGCTTTTTGGTTTATTTATTTATTTTTTTAGCTTACAAAAAAATGGAATCATTCTTTCTATACTATTGTCTAACCTCCTTTTTACATTTAACAATATACCATGATCATTTTTCCAATAATGTACCTCTACAAGTATAAATCTGAGTGGCTGATTACTAGTCCATAGTGTGACGCATCCCTTATGATAGGATCTTTCTGTCATATCCACTTTTTGTAGGAGCATGAAAAGTGTCTCAGACCTCATTAAACCTTTAGTGAAGGCATAAAAAATGGAAGTCATTAATAAAGTCAAACTTCTTAAGACTTTAAGCTGCATTCCTTTAAGAGGACAGAAATGACAGACTGGTGTTGTAGGAATGTGTTGTACTGCAGAAAAGTATTTAACTGTTGTGAGGTAAAAGCCCAGATACTGGCCTAGGTTCGAGGTATAGAGCTTGAGGCTATTTGTTTCTGACTCAATTTGAAGCTGAGGCCGTAACCATCTTAGCCAAATAGTTAGGTTTTCTCAGGCAGATTTTTCAGCTGATTTCATTTCACGGATTAAGAAAGCTTTCTGTTGGGGCGCCTGGGTGGCTCAGTGGGTTAAAGCCTCTGCCTTCAGCTCAGGTCATGATCCCTGCATCGGGCTCTCTGCTCAGCAGGGAGCCTGCCTCCCCCTCTCTCTCTGCCTGCCTCTCTGCCTACTTGTGATCTCTGTCTGTCAAATAAATAAATAAAATCTTAAAAAAAAAAAAGAAAGCTTCCTGTTTAAATTCTACAGTGTAGTAAACTTTTATTCATTTTCTGAGGAGACCATAGACTTATGGAAAATCAAAAGGATAGTAAGGGTAATTTGCATTGTCCACCGAGTAATTGTACCCTTAGCCTTTGGTTTTGCCTAAATTAAAGTGCATTCATGTATGTGTGTAAAATACTGAAATTTGGAAATATAAATTGTGTTTGTTCACAGTTTTATTTCACTACCTGAGTTGATGAGCAGAGTCTGAGGTAATTAATGACTTAATGAATTAATGTCCCTCATTTAGAAGGTCCTATCTGGTCTGAATATTTGTGTCTCCCCAAAATTATGTTGAAATCCCAACTCCCAAATGTTCTGGTATTAGCAGGTGGGGCCTTTGGGAGGTGGTTAAATCATGAGGGTGGGACCCTCAGAATGGAATTTGTACCTTTTGAAAGACCTCCAGAGAGGTTCTTTATTCCTTCTGCCATTTGAAGACAGGGGAAGCCTGTGATCTAGAAGAGAGCCCTCACCTGACCATCCGGGCACCATGATCTCAGATTTCCAGTTTCCAGAACTGTGAGCAGTAAGTTTCTGCTGTTTATAAGCTACCCCTCACCTAATCCCCAGAGGTATAAACATCCAGTTACAAAATAAATCATAAGTCATGAGGATGTAATATACAGCATAGGGAATAGTCAGTAATATAATAACTTTATAGTGGCAGTAGCTAGTCCTATCAAGGTGATCATTTCGTAATGTATAAAAATACTGAATCGCTGTCATACACCTGAAACTAGTATTGTATATCAATTATAATTCAATTAAAACAAACAGTCTGTGGCATTTTGTTACAGCTGCCTGGATAGACTAAGAAGATAAATGAGTAAGTGTTTCTCAACATCTTTAATTTTACGAATATTTTAACAGATAAACATAATAAAAATCAAGGTATAATCCTCCCCTGCATTTTTTTTTTCTCACATGGAGAGATAAAATTCATTTTGCTTCCCTATGTTTACTGTTTTAGTGCAAGTTTCTGTAGAAGGAAAATGTAGCAAACATGATTATTACTAAACTCCAAATTCAGGAGTAGATACTTGGGCCAGGTAAGACATATATTCTTTGCAACTAGAAAACTAACGTTTCCATCAATGAGACAAATAATAGAGCAAATTATAACAAAATGTTCAAGGTCATTTTAAAGAGAAAGTGTATTTCCTCAGTCAAGCCTCTTTGTAATTTGATTGAGGTTATTTGCATATCTAAACAAAGTATGTGAGTTGGGGGTGGGGTTTAATTAAAGTTCAGAGAGGGAGAGTCCTCAGAGCCAACTCTGAGCCTTCCTTCTACAAGGGTTTATTGGATTACACTCTGTGGAGAAAAAAAAAACAAGGTTAAAGAATTTGCCCAGCTACTAAAAAGCAGATCTAAGATTCGAAGCCTCTAGACCATCTAGCTTCACTGAAAATGTTGCATAGATCTATTTAATTCATTTAGCAAATATTTGTTAGACACCTTTCATGTGCAAGGCATTTTGCCAGGGACATATGGGATATATGATGAATTAGGTATTTGTGGAGATATGGAAAGAGATGCACTTTGGTTTCATACAGACTGTTTTGGATCCCAGTTCCTTGGAAAATTACTCTTTTAACCGCAGTTTTTAAGTCAATACAATGAAATGGCTGTTAAAAACAAAATAAAACAAGAAAATGTTCCTCTTAGTGACCAGCACACAAGGGGCCCTCAATAAATTTATCCTTTCCCCAACTCCACAGTATTTTCTAGAGGCCACGTGATCAGTAAGCCTTCTTGAATGGGGAAGGTTGTAAATGACTGAACTCATAGATGGGCTGATTTGGACTGGTTGAGATGGGAAAGACAGCAAATGTAGTGAAGTGTGAAAGCTGTGAAGATTCTCTCCACTGGCGTTTACAGGAACGGAGAAAACCAGCCGCTGTAAAGATCACCTCGCCTGCCTACTTGCAAAATCTCCTTCAGTTATAGTGTCGGTTCCTATAAACATAATCTTCCGACAAAAGCCTGAAATCAAGGCATCCTCTCTAACTAGATCCCTAAGGAGCAAGTTTTTCCTGATTCACTTAACAAACACTTTCTCTACTTTTTCAAATAATATTTAGGATTGCAGTTGAAATCTAATTGCTAGAATCTGAAGAGGCAGGAATCAAAAGACACTGTTCCAGTTTTCAAGGAGACAAAACGTAAACAATTTACGTTTAGAGGTGATAAGAGATACCTATAGCCGCCCAAAGGAAGAAAACGATATTCCCTTGGGGCAGCTCTAAAGTTATAGGAAAACAGACATATTTTGCGTACTATAAAAATATACGCCATTCTTAAACATTTAAAAGAAAGAAACTGACAATTTTTTTTTCAGTGTCAATTTTAACGCTCATTTTGCGACGCTTTAAGGCAAAGCTTGCAGAAAAACAGAGGAAGCGTGGTTTTGTCTGAGTTACCGTTCTCTGAAGCCAGTCCCATTTTTTCCTCAAAGTAAAAGCGTGTGGCAATCACACTCCTGGATTTTAAAGGAACATACCATTAGGTATACAAGGAGAGGAACCCGAATGTCGCAGTTTTCCAAGTGCGGTCTGCCCCTCCCACATGGTAGGTTTTTGGCAACTTGACCCTCCTTCCTCCAGAAGTGGGGGAAGATTCTAACGCCCTCTGGAGCCGTCCCTAGTGACGTCACGAGCGCGATTCCAGACTGTGGCCAATCACAGGGCCGGATTCCGGGGGAAGCCCGGGGTGGCGGCGGCGGCCTGTGCGCGTGCGCGAGGTCTCCGCGTGGCTATATAAACATGGCTGGTGTGGCCGCGCGGTGGGGCCACGCCGAGTGTGTGTAGGGGGCCTTGGGGCGCTCGGGTTTGTAGTTTTGAAGTTTCTGGCGGGGGAACTGGGGCGCAGAGCTTTGCTGGATGGTGGGAGCCGAAGTGACGCCTTCCGGGCTCCGCTGCTGCGGGACCCGATGCTGAAGCGCCGGGCTGAGCCGGCGCACGTGTGATCGCTGCTGAGGAAGCGGCGAGCGGCCGAGCAGGTGTCGCTGCGGCCAGGGCCGCACGGACCAGAGTGAGGTGCGGGACGCGCGGGTCTCGGTGTCCAGCCGGCGCCCGTCACCGAGTTCTGTGTCGCGGCCCCTGCGCCTCTCCCTAGCGATGCTGTGGAGCCGGAACTGCTCTGGAGTCGGCTGCCGCTTGTCAAGCCTACCCTAGCCTCTGTTCCCGGAACGGCAGCGTCGCAGCTGCGGCTCATCCACCCGGGGATGCCCGCGGGCCTCACGGAACCGGCCGGCGCCGCTCCCCCGGCCGGTGTGAGCGCCTCCGGGACCGTGACGATGGCCCCCTCTGGGACTCTGCCTGTCCGGGTGGAGAGCACCCCGGTGGCGTTGGGCGCCGTGACTAAGGCTCCTGTCAGTGTCTGCGTTGAGTCCACGGTGTCCCAGCCCCTGCGGTCCCCCGTGGGTACCCTGGTGACCAAAGTGGCTCCTGTCAGTGCTCTTCCTAAACTCAGCAGCGGCCCCCCGCTGCCTGCTCCTCAGATAGTCGCTGTGAAAGCCCCCAACACCACAACAATCCAGTTGCCTGCTAATTTGCAGCTTCCTCCAGGTATGTCGATCACCTTTTCCAGCTTACCTATCGGTCCAGCCAGCGGCGACACGGGAAACGTCGCAGCTCTGGATTGTGCCTTCTTGCTGGTAGCTCTAAAAACAAAACAACAAAAACAAACAAACAAAAAACTCAGCTAAGAGAACCTTTCATAATTGACTTTGCAGGGCAGTGGTTTGACTTTACAATTAATATAGCTTCTTTGAATCATTACTGCATAGTTTTTTACATATTTAAGGAAAGAATTTCTTCACCCAAGTGACACAGTAAACGCTGGAGCAAGTATATTCAGGAGGGCCTTTGGGGCACTAGCTCGTAGGTGCGAGAAGGTAGAATATAGCTAAAGTTTTTATTTTTACGTGGAGAAGAGACCAATTTATATAACCACACGCTTAGATAGCCATATTTTTCAAAAAAGTTTAAGAAGTTCTTGTGTGTTAAGGCTGAAGGAGGATTTTTAATTTAAGCAAGCTAAAATAATTTTACTGCTTTTCTAGTACCAGAAATGAATAATGCTGCTTTCTGCACAGTCTTTAGATGTGTGATGATTGTAATTTTCAGTTAGAAGAATACCTGTCTTAAGGGAGCGGTGCCAAAGTTGATAGATCAGAGGCATGGGGTTACATTTGAAGCGGGTGTGTGATGCTACAGTTAATGAGTCTGTGACTACTTTTTATCCTAGGGTTTACATGTTTGGGCTGTTTCTCATGATTTATGCAAAGATTTTGCTTTGTGATTATTCAGAATTTGTAAATTTGAGTGTTCTACCTTCTTTCTTAACTCCGCTGAAAGTGTCTTGGAATTTCAGTGGGGAAAAAAGGCACAAATCACATTCTTTGGAGTGAACTCTACTCCTGATTATATCGTCTCCTATTTATTTTGCTTAGCAGTAATTGGAACTCAGACCCGCAAAGATGGTAAAGAAGTGAAACATTGGATTCAAGATTTTAGTATCCCCCAGCAAAATGATAGGGGCTTTTTTGTAGCTAATGTTCTGATTGATTATGAACATTGTGGAAAGATTATGTTCCTTACTTTTGATGAAATTCTGTTTCAGTTTTTTATGGTACAGGAGGTACACACACTTGAGGCTGTGATGTATATGCCACTGGATACATTTTCTGACAGTTCTGAATTGTCAACCTGCCTATACTTATAAAGTAGTTATGAATGTGTTTGAATGAAATAATCTTCTAATTCGGTAAAAATTAAATTCCTGTCTAGTCACTGAAGATTGTTTAGAAACAATTAAAAAAGTATTAAAATAGAAAAATTATCAAGAGGGGGCGCCTGGGTGGCTCAGTGGGTTAAAGCCTCTGCCTTTGGCTCACGTCATGATCCCAGGGTCCCCGGATCAAGCCCCGCATGGGGCTCTCTGCTCAGCGGGGAGTCTGCTTCCTCCTCTCTCTGTCTCTGCCAGCCTCTCTGCCTACTTGTGATCTCTGTCTGTCAAATAAATAAATAAAATCTTTAAAAAAAAATTATCAAGAGTAAAAACTTGGGGGGCGCCTGGGTGGCTCAGTGGGTTAAAACCTCTGCCTTCAGCTCAGTCATGATCTCAGGGTCCTGGGATTGAACCCCTGCATCAGGCTCTCTGCCTGCTTCCCTTCCTCTCTCTCTGCCTGCCTCTCTGCCTACTTGTGATCTCTGTGTCAAATAATTAAATAAAATCTTTAAAAACAAAAAAAAGAGTAAAAACTTGGTAAGTGGGAACTGATCACTAATCGAAGGCATACTGTGCTATACACTTTTTTTATATTATTTATATCCTTTTGTTGGTCATAATAGGTAACAAATTGAGAAAGGTCTCTAAGGGTAAATAACTTGCCCAATGCTAGACATCTCATAGGTGTCAGAGGTAATTTGAATCCAGGTCGGTATATTCTTCAGATTATGAGACTGACGCGCTAGCTACTGCGCTAACGAGGCACCTTAGGTCGGTATATTCTTTATAGAATGCTGTGCTTACCACTTGGTGTGTGTGTGGTATCAGGGCTAAATGGTGACAGAGAATTTTAGAGCCTAATCTTTTGTATGCAAAGAAACCAAAACTGAAACTTGCCAGAGCTGTACAGCTGCAAACCAGGACCACAATCTAGGTGTGCACTACACTAAAACATTTTAGATAATTGACCATGGAAAAATTTACAGGAGCAAGGAGATAAATTGCCTTTAGGAATTGTTACAGAGGAGGTAGGGAGGTGCTTTGAAGAGCAGCTTTTGGAAATATTTCAACTGACATGGCAGAAGACCATACTAACTTTTGTGCTTTCATTGATGCACAGTAAGGTAACGAGTCGTTGAAGAATAAAATGGAAACACTGATTAAAGTAACTTTTAAAAAAATTATAAGTCTTGTACTGTTTATTTTATATACTGAGGATTAGTAATTGATTACTCAGGGATGCTTAAATCACATAGAAGTCAGCTTTGCTTTTTCAAGATAATGAATACTTTAAGTATTTGATTTCTGTTTACTTCAGAATTTCCTCAATGAAAAAAAGTGGTTTTCAAAAATATAGATACGCAGCACAAGTTTTTTCTAGGGAGCAGAGACTGGAAATAAAAAGGGGGTGTCATTGTGAAGAAATGAAAGAAGCTATAGCAAAGCTCTGAAAATTACTCTGTCGAATGTTTTTGGTAATCTCTTTCATCTTCTCAGTCTTCTCTTATGAACATGTGGGATTTGGGGCAAGACTGCGGTTCTTTCTGTTTGTGGTATTCTGTGTGTCTTCTATCACTTGTTTGAGAAAGATGATCAAGGTTTGGTTGCTTCTGCTAAATCATAAACTGGTAGCTTCTGCTTGATGGTCATACTGTACAGAAGTCTGTGAAAGTTACTTGTAAAATGGTTCAGGTGTTCTTTGTCAACTCTTTCATGCTGAGGCATGGCATAGGATTTGGATCTTTCTCAAATTCCTGAACCAGTTCCTGGATAAGTTAGTGGTTCTTATTTTCACCCTGGCTTTATCAAAAGGATATTGTGTGAGGACAGGGACTCTGTCGCTGACCTTATTACCCAGGGTTTAATAAGTTTCTTGCTCAGAGAGGGCACCTGAGTAATTGAATGCACACATTAGTGTATGTGGAGAAAGAAGAGGACAATAGGGCTGCAGCCCCCAAGGGATTCCAGGGCCGTTACACATATCAGTGCATTTTATTTTTAATTTCTTCGCTCATTCTGCTTACAAAAGCGGCATATGTTCATGTAAAAGAAAAAAATCATTACTGAAATATAATATACCCCCTTCATCAGATTTATTGCTATTAACAATATTGTCCTTTTCATGTTAGTACCTATAAATCTTCCTCATTTTTTTTTTAAAGATTTTATTTATTTATTTGACAGAGAGAGAGAGAGCACAAGTAGGCAGAGAGGCAGGCGGAGAGAGAGGGGGAATCAGGCTCCCCGCCTAGCAGAGAGCCCAGGACCCTGAGACCATGACCTGAGCCGAAGGCAGAGGCTTAACCCACTGAGCCACCGAGGCGCCCCTTCCTCATTTTTTAAGTCTCTTAGTAGTCCACTGTATCAATGTACCATCATGTTTTGACCACCTTGATATTCTTAGATATTGATACTGTTTGCACTACTTTCTGTTATGATGCTATAATAAACATCTTTGTGTATTTTTGTGCAGTTTTATAAATGTATTTTCTATAGGATGAATTGCTGGAAGTGGAATTACTGTTTCAAAAGGTAATCTTTTCATAGGATTACCAAATTCTGTCCCCAAGTGATCATTTAAATGCATAATTAATGATGTTCATACTTGATTTTAATAAGCTACCTGTGGGGTTGCCTGGGTGGCTCAGTTGGGTCATGATCCCAGGGTCCTTTCTTTCTTTCTTTTTTTTTTTTTTTTAAGATTTTATTTATTCATTTGACAGAGATCACAAGTAGGCAGAGAAGCAGGCAGAGAGAGAGAGAGGAGGAAGCAGGCTTCCTGCTGAGCAGAGAGCCCGATGTAGGGCTCGATCCGAGGACCCTGGGATCATGACCTGAGCTGAAAGCAGAGGCTTTAACCCACTGAGCCACCCAGGCACCCCCCCCAGGGTCCTTTCTGCTTAGTGTGGAGCCTCCTTCTCCCTCTCCCTCTGCCTGCTGCTCCTCCTGCTTGTGCTATCTCTCTCTGTCAAATATATAAATGAAATCTCTTTTAAAAAAGATTAGAAAGATAAAAAGCTATCTGTGGAATCTAATACGTAATTTTCCAGACTTGACATTCATTAACAGTAAGAGAAGAAGAGTCCTATAATTGAGTGGAGAGAGATAGACTTCAAATGTAGAGAAATGTGGGTGGATGATAATGTTATACAGATTTGTTACTTACTGAATAATTATGCCTAAGAGGGCTCTTGTTAGTTTGTGAAGTAAAGTAAGTATGTAATATACAGTAGCTGGGAAGGTTTAGTTCAGGGCAGGTGTAGTTCAGAGTTGGGACTAGGTGTGCTAATCAAAGGGACTTGGTGGGTTAGCCTTTTGTGGAAAGCAGTGAAGTATAGCAATAAAGGGCAGAATATTGTCCAACAGACCTGGATATGAATCCCAGCTCTGCCACTTAATAAGTTTGTGATTTGGGTCAGGTTTATTAAACTCATCCTCAATGTCAGTTTTATTATGTCTAAAATGGGATCACACCTTCTTCATAGAAGTATCATATGGGTTAACTAAGAATATAAGTCTGCATATCATAGAACTCTAAAGAACACCATTTGTGTGGAATACAGAGTTGCGTAGCAGGCATGTCTGAATATTTAAGGTACCTGTATAACATTGGCTAGCTATAGGTACTCAGGTTGCTATTTATCTAATGTGTATTGGCATCTACCAAATTCACTATAATTTATTTTTAAAAAGATTTTATTATAATTTAAAAGGATGGATTTTGAAATAACCTCAATGTCTGTATGCCTCCACTTTTTTAGGTCTGTTATACAAAATTTGGAAAGTACAGAAAAATTGCCCCAAATATTTGGAGTGTATCTTTTAGTTTCCTTTT